GTGGGACATATGCCAAGTGTCCACTAGGCGTCTTTTGATGATCTTCATATCAGAATCACGCAAATATGCTCAGCTTACATAAGAAACTCTTTCCACTATTCACCCATCTTTGACTGCTGATTTGGAACTATTACCCTTTACTGCCCCGGTCATCCCATCGGGTCACTTCCTGACCGACTTTTTTCCCCGTAGGCAGAATTTGCTGAAAACTTGGCTTCAGGCGTAGTTCCACCCTCTGAACACGGATATCGCATCTGCTCAAGCCGAAAACTCCTGGCGCCCACGCCACGAGCGTCGGCGCCAAAATACTCGAAATCACCAAATCCGCTGAAAAGTTGCTCACTGGGGTAGTTTGAACCTCTAATCACGAGTATCACTTCCATTTTGCATGGAAAAATCTCATTTCTCTGAAAGTCTCCAACTTCTCTCTTCATAGAATCTCGGCATCGTTGTGACTTGTGTATGATTCTTTTTGTGCCTTGGTTGTTAGGTGTAGCTGTTAATTAACGGCCTAAGTTTCGAACAGATCGTCGTCCTCATAGGCCTGAACATAGCTCAAGACTTCTAATTTGCTTTTTAAACCGTCAAACGCCTCGCCCCCTAGCGCTTTTAACGAAACTTCTAGGAACAACCACATCCACTGCGGCAGGAGCGGAAGAAGCCGCCCAGTCAGTTGTTAGGAGTATTTGTGAGACTCACTGTGCTGTCCTTACATATAGTAATTATATTATAATGTAATTACTATATAAATACTATATATTATTATAATATAATTACCATATGCAAGGACAGCGCAGTGAGTCTCACAAATACTACTAACAACTGACTGGGCGGCTTTTTCCGCTCCTGCCGCAGTGGACATGGTGACTTGGTTATATATACAGGATATTTTCGGTTGCTACTAGAAGTTTCGTCAGAAACGCTAGGAGGGCGAGGCGTTTGACGGTTTAGAAAGCAAATTAGAATCTTGAGCTATGTTCAGGCCTCCGAGGACGACGATCTGGTCGAAACCTTAGGCCGTTAATAAACAGTTCCACCTAACAACCTCGAAGGCACAAAAAAGTATTAAAGCTCATTTGTCTATTAGTGAGTTGATCATTGCTTCTTCGAAAATCCACGCGCTCGGCCAGCGTTACACGCAAACTCGTGGGAAATGGGATTTCCCATGAAATCCTGTACTCTCACTACATCAAAGAGTTCCTATAGCGTCGTATTTGGAAAGCCCAGTGAAATCACTTCAAGTTCTTCGAACATGTCGCGCACTTATATCCGTGCTAGGCTGCCTTCTACCAGATCCGAGAATTGATTAATACTAACCCAATGGCCCTATTTAGGACCACACAGAAGAGGGAGTACTATTTCTTATACAAGATAAATGTGATATTGTGATCAAGCGGTCAAACTACCCCTGTGAGCAAGTTTTCAGCGAATTTGGTGGTTTTACGGGCGCCAGGAGGTTTCGGGTTAACCGGATGCGATACTCATGTTCAGAGGGTCGAAATCCCCTGGAGCCAACTTTTCAGCAAATTCTGCCCACGGAGAAAAAAGTCGGCCTGGGGCAGTAAGACCCCCAGGCCTGGGGCAGTAAAGGGTAAAAAGACTGGGGCAGTAAAGGGTAAATAGTGCCGCTGATTTTTCTCACTTCACGGACGTTGTAAAAGGTGGGGGGGGAGTAGTCTTACTTGCTCATTGTTCAGAGGGGAAGGATCGTATTAACTTTTCGGCTTTTCTAGGAGTGGTGGTTGATTTTCGTGCGTACTGTTTCATGCGTACTGTACACCTCCAGCTCGACGGCTCAATTCGATGAGGAGGAACAGAGGGCCGGAAGGGGGGGTGGGGGTCTACCAAACCTAAAAAAAGGGGGGGGGAGTCGTACGGACTCGACTAAAACCCCAACCAGTGATATGCCCTGGGTAACGAGCAGAAAGCCGCAGTTTCGCCGCAAGACATTGAAGAGAGTTCCCGCCGCGATCAAGTGGTCCGCAAAATGCCTCCGTGCATTTGGCATCGTTGCTTGCATTCAAAGAGAACATACAATTTTCGTCACTCAAAACGGCGAGATAAAGTAGCTAGAGAGACGTGATTATTGCACATTGCAACCATGATTACTTCCACCCTACAAGACAACGGCTTACAAGCGGAACTGCGTTTGTACAGCGTGGCCTGGAGCATCGTAGGGTGATTTTCTGTGATCTTGCCGGGAACTGGTTGCACGTTGTCGACTGCTGCTGCCGACTCCTGCTGATCAGGCTGCCAACGTCCGACAAACTCGTCCAAGGCGCCCACTGCTTAGAAGGTCCATGTTCAGAGTGTTCTCAAGATTTTTTCTCGCTTTTCTCTCTCTACCGTGCAGTGACTTGCGGGCTAGTGAGCATGGCTGAGCACCTACTACCCGTAACACTTGATCCCGAGCATTGTCTCTGAGCTCCGACCGAATTGCAGTAATTCTCTAGCAGATCTTTCCTTCTCACAACGTTTCCCATTTCGCAGGAGCACCAGCTACCAGGTAACTGAATCACACAGAGCTTCTTTATTCGTTCTGTCCCGCCTCTTACTTTGTGAATGTTTTTTGTAATTAGAATTCCCCTATCAGCAGCTTTCGTTAGCGACATTCCCATATTGTGAAGAATTCTCTTTCACTCACGTAATGACCTGTCCCTTCTGTGGGAATTTCTTGTGGAACTATATGTGGTCAATTCTCAGAACGAACATAAAGCACTGCGTAGTAACACTCCGACCTTTCGAATAGTGCAGCTGACCTCACTTTCAATGTTCCCACATATCACATTGTCACCAGGCTCGCAAAATTGAAAACTCTTCTGATCGGTGATAACTATATGTTAACAAGTGACGAGAATACGCTATGTAGTGTAAACCTCTGACACGTGGACTACTAGCGGTGACTGTTCTATAATTTGATGTGGTCCGTAACTAGTGGTGAAGGCAACACGCACCGCAAGTATCGCAAATGTTAACAATGTATTAATTGAAGGGACCGGCGAACGCCTTCTACCTTCTGCATGGACCATTAATTTTGCCAGGCTGTGAATCGAAGAAGTCACACCACTGTGAGGCCAATATAAATTCGGAGCTCAGTTCCCTGGAGGAGGTGGCCCAGGTGGTCGCCGACGTGGTGATCAGAAAGCGTAATGGGACAGTTCTGCGACGGGAAGGTAGGAAGGTGGATTTTTGCACTTCTGCTCTTCCCACCGACGTCTAAACCCAATTAAGGAGCGTTTTCGTGAGCTTACAACAGTTGACAGGTTTTATTATGATGACTGACGAGCTTTATTCAGCTTCACAAGAGTTCACAGGTTCCACCAGAGTGAGACTTGTAAACGGGAACCAGTGAAGCAGAGAAAGTGTGTAGTGTTGTGACCTTCTCTTGATGTCGAGTTTTTAGGTGAAATATTTATTCGACCAACGTTTCGACCTTTCCGCCGTTTTCAAAGAACTTATATGCCACCACTATCTGCAACCACTTGCTCGTTAGGTCAGTAAGTGAATCTCTTGTGATAACTAACATGCTGCGATTCGCTCACTAAGGCAGCGTTCACACTTCGTGACAGCAGCGGCGATCGCCGCGATATGTTCATATACAATTAATAATAGCTACGACTATGCTGCAGAAGGTCACCACAAATGCTGCAGTATCCGCTTTGTTTATAAAAGGTTTCACATATCTAATTTTTGTCAAAGGCTTTTTCCACTAATCGATTAGTCCGTATTCATTCAGAACTGGTCAATTCATGGTTTTTATTCAACTTTTCCATATTACTTCTTTAGTTCGATTTCCCAGCGCCTTCGTTTTTATGCATCGCTGCTTGCTAAAGGTTTCTTATAATTTTACATATTTGTTCATTTTAGGACCAACAAGATGCTGATGATTCGATCCTTGTCTGTCACGCTGGGCGGCTTCGTCGCCGCTGGTCTTCAAAGTCATCTATTTTTTTCCTATTTTTTTTCAAATTTTCTGTCCACCTGTCACGCGAATACCTTTTCAATTATCTCATAAGTGCTGTAGCTTCTACAAAGGATATCTGTTCACTTGTTTCAACCCACTCATCGGCAATTCTCAGTATTATCTTTCTTCCTAGGCCGCTCTTTTCTTTCCATTGATTGGATAGGGATTTCGATCGTGCAAATTTGACCATGCCAGCAAAACTCGACCGATCGCGCAAGGTGAAAGACTTGAAAACCTCGGAGGTAACATTGCCCGCTGCAGGTACGGAGTCTACTGAAAGACCTGCTCCTTCATCATCAGGCGTGGAGTTTTTGAACTATAGCGCAAGCGATCTTCTCAAAGCGATCATGGAGAGGAACTCTGACCCAGTCATTGCGAAGATGCTAGTGGCTCTATCTGATAAGATTTTCAGAGAGGTTTCAACCTCCCTCGAAGCCGAAAAAAGATCCCGTAGCCTTGTTATAAGTGGGTTGGAAGAGGCTCCACCTCAGATGCGGCCATCGGAGAAGCAACGTCATCTAGAGGATAAAATAAGTGACCTCCTGGATACCCTCAAAGTCGAATGCCGTCCTGTGGAGCTTTATCGATTGGGTAGGCCGGAGACTGGGCGACCTAGGCTTGTCAAGTTAGTACTACCGTCTAGGACTCACTGGAAAACGGCTTTAGGAAATGCAAAACACCTTAAGGCGTCTACAGCATTCAAGAACGTTTTATTAGGAAAAGTATGACAGCAGAAGAGAGGAAAAGGGAGTACGAACTCAGGCAACAAGCAAGGGAAAAAAATAGAGGAAAGGATAGACATGAATGGGTGATCTTCAGAGGAGAGCTCAGACATATCAGTGACCTCCCTAGCCAAAGGCTGGAAAACCTGTAACGATGCATGTTGGTCTACAGGAACATCCTTTAAAATGGTTTCTCCTCAATGTTCGCAGTATTACCAGAAAATTAGTTCATTTACATGCTTTTTGTCTGAAATGAAGCCTGACATCCTCGTAATAACAGAAACTTGGTTGACGCCGCATATTCTTGACTCTGAATGACTAGTGGTTTCCCATACTTCCTGTATCGAAGGGACCGTACCCAGAGAAAAGGAGGAGGAGTCTTTTGCATGGTTAGGTCTTTTCTAGACTGCACGGAAGTGAAGTTAAACACCAACATGGCCCCAGATATACTCTGCTGTGATATTCTTATACATGTGGCCGCCTCTCCTCTGAGGATCATCTCGGTCTATCGCCCTCCAAACACTAAGCCAGCCGATGACCATTACTGGATCATCTCCTTGATCTTAGCTCAGTTCATAATGACACTATTCTGCTAGGCGACTTCAACCTTAACATAGAGTGGGAGTATAAAGATCCAATAAATCATACCTCTGCCAGATTTCTTGACTTTTTCAGTAGCTGCAACCTCACGCAGTACGTAACACAGCCCACACACGGCCGCAACATTCTTGATATAGTACTATGCTCATCACAGATTATTGCTAATACTAAGGTATTACCACCCCTCTCCTTTTCAGACCATGGGTAGTTTCGTTTGAAATCCTCAAAAAGCAACGTATCGGGACCCCACAGTCACTTTACCGCTTCCTGTCCCGAATTTCAGCAGCGTAAACTACAATTCATTGAACTCCTATTTTCTAAGTGTGGATTGGCTCACCTTGTTTGACAACTTCACATCAGCTAGCGATGTCTACAAAAGATTCTGTAAGCAACTATACATGACCTTCTCTCATTTTGTTGAGTTCAAAGCTCCTCAAATGACTCGAACAGTATATCCAATACATATAAGGAACTTAGCCGCTCAGAAAGAAAGACTATCTCTCTCTCTTGACCGTCCTTTGGAAGATGACCTCTACAGAAAGGTGTGTCGGGACCTTGACGGCCATGTAAAGAAGTTTCTCGCCAATCGTGAACACCGCCTCACGAGAGGGTCTAATTTAAAACGGCTTTTCCACTATATTAGACAGAAATCGAGAGATAATTTAGGGTTACCTACTTTGTTTGATGCCTCGGGCAAGAAATACATTTCAGATACGCAGAAAGCCAGAATATTAGGCGAATACTTTGCTTCCGTCTTCTGTACTGGTTCTGAGCAAAGCGTACCAGATGTTAGGGGCATTCCACACGTAGAGAGCGGACTTTCAGGGATCTTCTTTCACCCAGAAGATGTTCGGAAGATGCTGGAAAGCATTAAACCTTCCACGTCTGAAACATACGATGGGATCCCCCAGATAGTCTATAAAAAATGTGTTTCATCCTTATGCCTGCCATTAACACATATTTTCAACATTTCTATGATTCTTGGTGAGGTACCGGATCTGTGGAAAGAAGCCTTGGTCACTGCCATACCTAAATCTCCTAAGGCTGCAAACATCTCCGATTTTCGACCGATAAGCATTACGCCTGCCCGAAGTAAGCTAATGGAGAGACTGGTCAGAGACAAGATACTGGGTTGGCTTGAGAAGTTCAACATGATTCCAAAAGAACAACATGTTTCTTGAGTGGGGCTTCCACGGTCTCCAATCTATTAGATAGCTTATTTGACTGGCAATCCGCTCTAAACAGTGGCAAATCTGTAGACATAGTCTTTGTTGACCTGTCCAAAGCATTTGATAAGGTCTGCCACCGTAGATTGCTAATCAAATTACAGCATCTGGGGATTTCTGGGCAGCTTCTAGATTGGCTGAGATCTTTTCTAAATCAACGTTACATGACCGTCAAGGTTCGTCACAGCTTCTCTGACAGACAGTCAAAGTGGTGTCCTCAGGAAGCGTTTTATCGCTTGTTTTGCTCTTCTTAATATATACACCTCCCTGTCTTACATTGCCACTTCGCCCGATGTGAAGGTTCAGATGTATGCTGATGACATTAAAATATATGCCGCATTAACGATACTACCAACAAGTAAGGAAGTTCAAGCAGTCATTTAGCCTATCCCTAGCGAAAATGTCGGAGTGGGCCGCCTCTTGGGGCTTGACGATCAACTTAAACAAGTGTTCCCTTCTGCACTTGGGGGATAGCTTTTCTCCGAGGTATAAAATCAATGAGACATTCCCGGAAGGCTGCAGTAAGCACAAAGATCTTGGAGTCGTATTACAAGATGACTTAAAATTTTCCTTGCAGATCGAGCAGATGGTTAAAAAAGCATTCGCTGCGCTCTTCTTAATTTTCCGAAACATTCAGCTTAGAGAGCCTAAAACGCTGGTCCGACTGTATAATGCATACGTATTGCCACACGTAAACTACTGCTCTCAAATTTGGAATCCCTCTCTGAAGAGCGATATTGCCAAGGTGGAAAGTACAGCAGACTTTCACAAGACTGGTGTACCTTAGAGTACACCCGAAAACGAAACCGAATAGCGTGCTAAAGTCTGAGGAGCGCCTAAAACGGTTAGGGCTACCGAGCCTTAAAGACAGGAGGTTAGACTTTTTTTCGCATCCTCAGAAGTGAAACGAGGCTGAAACCTAGCAAATACTGGGTTTTTAGACCCTGTAGTGAGAGAACAGGGAGCTTTGGCCTGAGCTATGTAAAAATCCATAAAAGATTCTATTCACTTATGTTTAACTCCTATTTCTGTCGTATGGCCAGGATGTGAACAAGCTGCCACCCGCGTTGCTCAGATCTGGAAACGGTAAGGTGTTTAAGAGCAGATTGAGGAAGATCTGTACTAAGGACTCGTTTCACTCCTTATTCTAAAGAGGATCAATTCGGATGGCAAAGGGATGAGATGTTCTTTCGGGTGAGGACGGCGATCGGTCGGTACAAAAAAGATGTTTCTGTTGCGACGCTCCAACGCTCCACACTTTTTATGTTTTCACACTTTTATGTTGATAACTCAGTGTTGATAGTTTTGTAGAGCTCTCTGCGCATTTTTTTCTATTTTGTTTCATCTGCCTTATTCCACGCTGTACGCCATATGGTGCCGGCTTCGATTCATAGGGGTGTTTTGCCACAATTACGTCGCTCATTTGATTTCCTTTTCCCGTATGCTTGTGCTCGAATATTTTTTTTTCGAGGCAGGCAAGCCCTTTTAAAACTTTCTATTTCCGCTTCTATCCACCATGTCAGCTCCACGAGGGCCGTTGGTATACCCGTGTGCCGAAGTGCTGGCATGTTCCCTATGACTTCCGCTGGAACGAGGGCGCCATAGCCAACTGGTGTGGATGGTTGCTCAAGTCTTGAGAAGTCTTGCTTGCTTGCGCTGCTATGTTTTGACACAAGCTACGGGTAAGGACCCTGTTTAATTGTTAACTGTTTGCTCCCTATGAACCTGGCCTCCACCATCTCGGCTTTTATCGCTTAGTATTGGTTTGTTCTGGGCACACATACAGTGTATATTAAATAAATAAAAATAAAATAAAATAAAAGGAGCCCAGTAAAGACAAAAGTCCTGTGAGGATTCGCATCTGCGTTAGGCTAGAGGTTGAGACACGACTGGGAAGCTGGAAACGCCGAAAGCTTGAGGAAGCTCACCACCGCAAGTGAACTGACGGTCATGCTGCGAGAAGAATGGAAATATATAGGCCCTCGAACGAGAAGCAAAGTGCGCGAAAAGTGAGGACCACTGTCATGTTGTTCACGTCCCACATTCGGTGAGGTGCGTGACAATGGTCCTCACTTTTCGCACTATTTACTTCTGGTTTGAGGGACTATACCATTTCCATCCTTCTCGAGGCGTTAGTTCACTTTCGGTGGTGAGTTTCCTCAAGCTTTCGGCGTTTCCAGCTTTCCACTCGTGCCTCAACATCTGTCCTAACGCAGATACGAACCCTCACAGAATTATCACAAGAGTGCTGAAATACAGGCAAATTAAGACCTCGGACGTGACTGAACCCGCCTCTAATGCTTACCGGGCCGGATCCATTACGCTACCGGGCCTACCCTCTCAGCACAATGGATTTTTTACCAATGTCTTCCAGCGCTCAACCTCATAGAATTGGCCCTTTGGTCAGATCGCCCGGGTGAAGCTCAGAGTACTGGATTGAATGTTGATTTGCAGCCAGATACAGTTCCTGGCAATTGAGGAGAAAAAAATTTGACGCATCGGAAACTAAGAATTTTTGAACTGCTATAGGGCTTCGTGATTCCTCGAAAATAGCACGCAAAAGCATGTAACGCAGGCATCGAAGTCATGTTCTTGGGATATCAGGTATTTCGTGTGTGGAGGCAATAAACATGGGGAGGTCCTACATTGAAGTTTCGCGGATGATAACGTTTGCAGTTTAAGGCTGCACTGCTTTGAATGTGGTTAGTCTCAAGATTAAGAAGTCTTGCCAAAAAGATGCCGTTGAACTTGTCCGGAAGACTTCCTTTGTCGGTAAACGTCAAAGGATGGAGCGAATAAAGCTTTAACAGTGTATTAGGCTGAACACCAAAACTAAGAAATATGAGGCATTGCAGCCCTCGACCCCGCTTTAGTGAATCGTTCTCTAGGAGCTACTGACTCCATCGCAGAAAAGCCAAACGTGAAGAACGTCTTCGCCTGTTTTCGCATGCTTCGATTCAACATGAGATGCACAACGTTAGTGAAAGTCCCTGGAAATAGCAATAAGTTGTTGCCGTCCCTACGTTTTTGTAATCCAGTATTCACTCCAGAATTCACCATTACAGAGTAGGAAAGCAAAGAAGAAAGGACCGACATCCTTGTAGATTGAACCGCCGCAGATGTTACCAACGTTCACTATAACACATGGAGCTGTAACGAAGGCAAGTGACGTTAGTAAAATCCCAGCACATATGCGATTAGCCTAAATATTTCTAATTATCAACAACAGAATTCTTTCGTACGCCTGTCTTGTTGGATATACCTGCACGGAACTGTTCAGCTGTCCTCCTGGATGTGCTCCAAGAGTTCGAGATATTCGTCGCTGAGGGTATTTTAGCTTGACAATGAACAAAACTGTCAGAAATCCTGCTATAAGATTAAATATCTAAATTCGGAGTAAATCATATACACTTTGAATAGGGCTAAAGACCGAGTTCCGCTAACCAATGGGTTTGATTCCCAGTAATATGCTACTAATGAGCTGCTGCTTTCGATAAAGCAGCCAAGTGCAGCACAGCCTGGCTTCCGTTCAAACGTTAGGAGAGTGAATTCAACGAAAGAATCAAACGCTGCCAAAATGAGGCTGACGAGCAACACAACAGTCGCATACGTAGATAAAGACAGTCTGCGGTAGTACATAGGAAGAAAAGATGCCTGTAATTGTAGTGCTTCTCCAATACATCTTCTGCTCATTTATATGAGCATTATAGTGTTCTAAAACTGCTGAATGCTCCTTCGTATTAAAATCTTTTTATGATAATTTTCGTCGCAGGGTTTTTTCCCGTAATTTTTTGTAACCATTTTTTCAGTTTCCCTTTTTTATTATAATTATTAGGCTATTCTGAGGGTCATTTCGTCAGTGTTAATCAGTAAAAAAACCAATTATACCTGTCTCTTCTTCGTTTAAAATTGGTCTCAAATTCCATTGGGGCCGAAATGGGAAGGAAGCCACGGTGCGCTATACCATCACCTCGTCTTGCAGTCTCGAGGAGGTGAGAATGGTTGAAATAAACATTTCTGGGACTGCCGTTCAGCTGTTACTCATCGGTATAGTGTCGAGACTATCGCCTGTTTACCGCAGGGATGCTCAGTCCACATTTTCCGTGGGCGCCTAGGCTGAACAGCGGCGTTTCCTGATATAGAAAACAAGTTTAGCTGGCGTGGTCCACTACAAAATGAGCTGAGCTGTTTGTAAGACTCCTAGGTGAGTACTTACCACAAGCACAATACGTCCTCTATCAAAACCGTTTGGGAAAAATACGAACCAATTAACCGTTAGATGTGATCGCGTTGGAAGCCCACTTTCACCTATCGCCTCCTTAAACTTGCTTTTTGAATTGAAGTCGTGCCTCTTATTTCGTCCACATCGTCAACACCGATGACCATCAAACAACTGCGGTGAGAACAGGTACCATGCTGGAGCTACACAGGGATTCACAGATCATTACAAAATAACATTGTTTGCTGACGAAAGTTTTCAAAACGCCTACTGCCCGAGGTGCCCCTAAATATGTTTATTTCTTACCAGCGTTCGCTCAAAAGCAGCGGAGATAGTTAATCCTAAATGGACTTTTGAGAAGAATGGAGCAGGTGCGCTGAGAATTGCAACATAGTATGGATTGAGATCAATAAACGTAGGATTCCAGTTTGTCACTAGGTAGATAGAGTATGGAATGGCTGCAAAACGCTGTTAAAAGTCAATCACGCCTTAAACTTACAACTCGTAAGCGTCTATACAAGCCTTGAAACTCACTGGTTACAGCGCTTAGCAGATCTGCAACTGCTAGAAAGACAAGCAGGCGTGAACAAGAGTACTTTTTCTTCTTCGTCACTCTGAATAAGGGGTTAATTATACCCTTGAACAAGTTATTCTAATTTTTGAAGTTTGTCATCTAATCACATACTCGCAGGCCCATCTTTGAATGCATACCTTCTAAACACTACGAGAAATAAAACGCTGCAAAGGATTGTCGTAGTCTGAAATAATAAGACAACAATGTCGAGTAGAAGGAAATATGTAGTTCGGTTCATCGAAAACAAGTATCAGAAGGACACCGTACGCTCATCAGACTCAGCAGCTGAAACTTATTTTTACTTTGGCTTTCACTTCATAAACTTCTGCCTAACTGCCGAATCTCTTTCCAAGAGGCTAATTCAAAGAATCTTCATGAATGCAGCACTTCTGACAAATGCATCTTTTCCCATATAGCAAGGCAATGGTAATCAAGTTATAGCTCGCTCTCGACTGACAATTTCTAAATGGTTCTCCCAAACATCTGAAAGAACGAGTTGCGGAAGTGAAGAGAAAAGAGAGGGAGGAAAAATGTCAAATGCGGGCAAGCCTTCATTAGTCTAATCCATCTTGGTTGCAGAAAAATATGGCAGCGTCATTTGCTAGGAATTTAAAAGTTCAATTTCTATTAATATTACAAAGTTCAGTCTCTATCAATAGAGAGCATCAGGACCCAGAAAATCGAGAGATCATAAATATTAAACAATACTGAAACGGAAATCGACAAACCCAAGGAATTTTAGTGAAAGAAGGTTATCAATGGCTCAGGAAAGAAGGAAACGGTTTCATAAAATGAAACGTCAGCGACTCGAGCCGCATGAGTTCGAATCCATCTTGAAATAGCGGCATCGCAATACCGTTCCTCGTGATTGTACAGTTCCATGGTAATAGAGCAGTGATTACTATATGAATGTCAGCATGAAAGCAGCTAGAATAGAACCCGCACCAGTCAAGGTAGACACCTGCGACTCGCCTATTATTAGGTTGCCCGGAAAGTTCTCAGCGTTTTGTGCACCTATTCTTTGTACATTCACTGCAGATTAAAAACTCATTCTGCCTTATTTCTCAGTAGCACATCCTGTAGAGAATTTGTTGCGCTATCTGATGGTATAATTGCCGTTTCACCATTGCTTGAAATCCCCTTTTTTCAAGATTTTTCAAGCATGTGAGCACTTTAGACGATTTTTTTCATCGACTATAAATTGGGGCAATCCGCAATCGAAGCAGCTCAACAAATTAATCAGGTGTGAGGGCTCAGTAGTGCCAGAGAAATCACTGTGCGGCAATGGCTCAACAAATTTCGTTCTGGAGATTTCAGTCTTGAAGGTGAACCTTATAGCGGTCGACCCAAAGCAATATCTGACGAGGATCTTAGGGGGATTTTGGGGGCTGATCCATCCCAAACAGTTCGAGAGGTAACAGAAGAGCTTGGCGTTGGCAAATCCACTGTTGCAGATGGTCTGGAACGCATTGGGAAGGAGAAAAAAAAACTCGACAATTGGATGCCCCACAATCGGAGTGACCTGCAGAAATCGGCACGTCTCGAGGTTCCTTCTGCATCGCTTTTACGCAGCAGAAACGACCTGTTTTCGGACCGTAATGTCACCTGTAATGAAAAATGGATCATGTATGATAACAGGAGACCTTCCGGACAGTGGTTGGATTTCGACGAACCACCAGGACGAGGTAATTTTCAAAGCCGAACCCTCACGAAAAAAAAGATTCTGGTCACGACTTGGTGGTCATCGGCTGCTGTGATCCACTATAACTTTTTATCACCAGGCCAAACCATCACAGCAGAACCCTACCGTGAAGAAATCTACGAATTGTACCGAAAATTTTGTCAGATCACCCAACACTTACTGAAGGAAAGGGTCCGATTTCTTTATATGACAACGCCCGCCCACACGTTTCACAAATCACTATCCATAAATTGAACGAATTGGGGGTTGAAGTTCGACCTCAGCCGCCATATTCTTCAGACCTTTCGCCAATCGACTATCACCTTTTCTAACATTTTCAGAACTCCCTTGCTGGAAAATAATTCATCAATCAGGAGCAGGCAAAAAAGCCTTCGTGGATTCCGTGAACTTTCGATGGGATTTCTCGACTGGTGTCACATTGGCAAAAGTGTGTTGATTCGAATGGTGCCTATTTCGATTAAATCTGATGAGTATTAAAAAAGTGGGGATCGTTCAAAGTGAAACATCCAAAACGCTGAGAACTTTCCGGACAACCTAATAGCTCTGAAGGTAGAATTGTATAGGACCTGTCACGTTCCAATGACACAATGGTCTCTTTTGGATGCAGCAGAGAATAGAGATATTACAAGTTACAATTCACTACAAACAGGTGGATATTCGTAGGACAATGACCGCGTTAAATCCTTTTATTTGCAAGCTGCATGAAATAGTAGCAAGTGAATCAAAGTTCTATGATAAGCCGAGTAACCCCTTCAGTGTATAAGATGCAGAGTTTGTACTGCTTTCGGACTTGGAAATGAGCGACAGGCGCCCTAGGTACGCACCGCCTAGGGATTAAACACGTTTTCTCCGGGAACCATTACCTGAGAGGACTAGCCTGCGACTAGCCGCGATGAAATGGATTCAAGGGATTCTACTGAGAGGACCGGCTTAAAAGAGGAAGAAGAGGTACAAAAATGAGAAAGCTCATTCGAATCTAATCTTGTTTTTCTTTTACACTGGAAACCAAGCGTGGTAATGAGACTCCTAAAACGGCTTGAGATTTCCTCTCCATCGTCGCCAACAAAGGCCGTTGATGACGAGGCAGTGGAAACCATGATGTTGTGCGGCATGAGATGCTTCCGCTAGAACGGTACCACCGTTCGAGCGGAAGTACGATGCCACACAATATCATAATCTATGGTAAATATTCGTAGAGTGACGCAAACTTGTATGTGGGCACTATGAGCAAACAACAGATTGGCTTCAACGCTGCCTGCCGCACAGTCTGCTGCAAATAATTTGGCGCTCAGTGTTACTATTAGAGATATTTATTAAGTGTCCTGCGTGTTATGTTCGCACTGCAGTGCTCGTACCGTTCTCACTGGCTAGTTTTCAAGCTGAGCTGATCATTCTCTTTATTCTTCTTCTCTTGGCCTCTTGGTTCTGGTCCTCCTAATCCTTGTTCCTAGTCAGAACCCATCCTTTTTGCTGCTGTGTGCATGTCCCTGCCCTCATTCTTTACTGCTTTGCGTATACAAGGTATCCCTATTACTGAACTTCCTTGCTCTATACGCTAGCTATGCCAATTGGCAACTTAGGCTTGGTGTCTAGGTATGCTGCATCGTGTTTCTATGCAATTTTCGTGCCAGACGAGAGATCGTTGAAACACGTTGGAGTAGCTTATTGTCTCGAATGTAGGGCTTGCATGACAGAGTGGACACAAGTATGACAATTCAGAAAAAGATCAAAATCCAACAAGTTATTCACTGCCCCGGGTCAACGAAAACATGAATTCATTGGTTATCAGACAGTAATACAACATTATCATACAAGTGTAATGCGGCCAGCGTTGCCACAACAAAACCACAGTGCAATACAAAGTGATTCCGTCAGAAACTCATGCTTTATCCTCTCAAAAGCAGTCTCTAGAACACACGAACCTCTGTGTTCTTTTTTGAACGTCTTGAATGATATGAGCCTATTTGAGGGAAGGCAAAGTTCTGCCCATATTTTCCGAAACTCAAATTACTAAACGCGAAGATGTGATCTAATCTGAGCAATAATATCCAGGGTCATGCTCTCTAAGTAACATTCATTTGCACCCTAGTTCCTTTTTTGCAACATTAGCAAGAACTCCATCCGGTGCTTTCGTCACCTTTTCGGATAGAAAAGTATCTGACGTTTATGGGAATATGGCACTACTTCATCACATATAATGTGACCCGAGACTCTCAAAGCGTCATTCAACGTGTCATCGAAAGAGCAGTGGTCGAAGTTCCCCACTTGACGCAAGTGAAGGACGGAATCCAGAGCGTGCTCCAACAACGACCGAGGACGTGAGGTGGCCGCGTTTGCCAGTCTTCGAAGATCAGGTGGGCCAGGGTTTGAAAATTGCTTCTGTGCCAGAGCTACACTGGCTATATTCCGCACGGAACGGGTAATGAATAGCTGATGACCGCCTTGTGAATGGTCACAGTTCTTTGTAGAGGCTCTGAACGAATGGTATGGCACAGAGATTCTACTGTGCAACATTAGCGCATTTTAGGAATGCAGACGTTACTGATTCCACAGTGATTGAATGTGCGCAGGTGATGCCGTCAGCAACAACTCCCTCAAACGTTTTCGTCTACCACTCTGGCTCGAGCATGGGAGCTGTCGAGGCCAAAATAAAGGAGCTGCATATGAGGAATGCTCTTACTCGCCTGCGCAGATGCTTCAAAGAGAGAGGTTCGGATTTTAAAGTCGAAGTTAGGTCTGAATTATGCTTGAGGGAGTTGAAGCTTGTGAAAGTGCTGGATGAAAAAGCTGCTTCCATGGCGAACTTTTATGCAACGCTGCTGCGAGATTCGAAGCGATTCCTCACCAGCAGAGCTTACCTTCTGAAAAATGGCGCAGCCGTAATCTCACATTTCAGCTGACGCTCTTTGACGACAAAAGTCGTCCAAAAATGATCTTTGCAATCTTTGTAACGTAATTAGCTCGGACATTTAGTAACCTGAACCACTATCTGTAAACTCATTAGTAAGTGTAATCCTTTGATTATACCAATCAACAGGTGGGTTACGTGCTCGGACAAGCTTTGCTGTTGATCGAGATTGCGAGATTGCTGATTGCCGGCATTACAGTAAGCGCCTGGATTGCCGCGTAAAAGGCAGTCTGCCAGAAGAGCATTCTTTCTAACATTTACGTACCTCCATACCTCGACAGCTTTTCTTCTGTCTTACAGGTTCGCGTGTCCAGCACAATCGAAGGGCATCGTTATATTCACTTGTACTCGGGTATGTCTCTATGATTCGATTCTCTGCCTGTATCGTGTATCTATATATTGTAAAATAAAGGTTCAGCTACCCAAGTTTGTGGCTCACTAACATCAAATCCACGTGGCGATCAAAGTAGTTGGTGGTTAGCTACTACTTAAATTACTTATAGGCAAAATCCGCAATCATTCATCATCTTAGTTAATAGATTAGGGGTTTGCATATAGACGACAAGGTTCTGCTAACTCGATATTTAGAGAGAAAAACAAAAAAAACATGGCAAGTGCCCTAGCGGAA